AGATTTAATCAACCAACAACTCTTCTACGGATACTTTGTAACACATGATAATCTTGGAAAACATTAGTACAGATGTCATAGTACCCTGCACAAGTTTTAACGTGGTACATGTCCCCAGAAAAGTTCCATAGGTAGTTATGTATGTAAGAAAATCAAAGTTCTTTTTTGAAAGTTGTTATACAATGTCCTTTAAGGTTCAGAGTACGATAGAAAGTCCAACATATTGTTACGATCGAATATCGAGCGCTACACTTGTACGGCAGATAACGATTTACTCTGTATGGAGCCACTTAATAACAAGTGTTGGACATACGACCCTGGAGAACACCTTACAATAACAATTATTAACAACATAAATAAATTGATGAATTAATTAATGTGCTTGCTTAAATTAAATGCATTTGGGCATTGAAAAACTTCCTCTATGATTTGGTCAAGGAGAAATTTAACAAATTCTAATGGATAACTAATTGCATTACGTTAACAAACATAAAACAACAATAATAACCATAATTGTTTATTTTTATTTTAAGGCACAACATTTAGGCATCTGTCACAAATAAGAGAAACTTAAAACTCAAAACAGAAAACGAAAAACTAGGTAGGTTACATAATTTTGTAAACATAATAAATAAATATGACACAAAAATAGAAACGGAAATGTATGATACATTGCTACATGGAATACCTATAATTTGTGATTGAAGTAGTACTCGTCAAACATATTTTGTAGGTAGGTATGTATTACAACAATACAAAATAAAAATTGCAACAAAAAATAAAATAATACATATTATACCTACCTATTGCTAAGACATATGTAGGTATAAATATGAACAGTCATATACCTATATATTTTTATTAAACAATATCCATTACCCATACATTTGATTGCAGGATATTTGTCATCTCACTTCTAAAAACTACAAAATTTTCGTAACTTGAGGGCAATTCTAACAACCCAGAACATGTATGCCCTATTGGAACCCGCCCAAAGCCAGTTGTGTTAATAATTGATACATAAATGTCTCTTGTAGGTAAATCAGACCCGGTACAAAATCTGAAAAAGGCCGAACGTGTACTATCATCAACTTCTTTTATAAATTTTTTCAAATATCCATATATTTCTGTTATTTGTGGCGTAGTTTCGTTTGCATTTTGTAAATGAATTTTTGCCAAACAGTTTTTTGAGGATGGTTTTATGTTGTTAAATAGAGCCATAATTTCAGAGGTGCTAATCCTACTGTGCGTTTGGAATACTTGTCCGAAGCATTTAATAACAAAAGCGGGCTTTTGAATGAGCTCTTTGTGGGCAATGTCCCTTAAGAATAAATTAATATTGGTTTTTGTGGGAATCCATTTTGCATCATAATTGGAGAAAATGTCTAAGAGTTCATCACTGTCCACATTATCGAAGTCCAACAATGCTTGCCGGAGAATTTCCCTTTCAGATTCGCAAACAAAATGCAAGAAATTTTGTATTAGATCTTCATCTTGTATCGCACATCCCAAACAACTCAGAATAAAAACAGGAGCTATTTTTATTGGAATATAACTTTCTGTAGTAAAACCTTTTAAGAATATACTTGCAATCGCTTTCCACTGAGTTTCATTAAAATCGTGTCGCAAATACGGAATTTTCAGATTGGTTCCTACAGAACACTTCTCATAAAAACTGGACCAAAATTCTGAAAGTGTATCTCGGAAAACTCCTCCAACATCCTCTGCGTATTCTGTTTCTCCGTTTGGAAGAATCATTTCAATTTTTAGAGCACAAGAATAATGAAACGTGTGCTTCTGAAAAGCTTCTATCAGTTCCTCAAATATTTTGCCTCTGTGTAGTGTTAACGTTTGAATATTATCTGTTTGCTGAAATTGGTTTTCTGCATTTAGATCTTCAAGGTTTGGACGGTTTCTATCAAGAACATTTGTAGTATAATTCTGTACACTGGTAGAAGTACTCTGAATAGCAGGCAATTGTGCTGACATTGTAGTTGTTTCTAAGAATCGTTCATTTGGATGTATGTCAAAATGTGGATTATTAAATAATTCCTGCAAACCTGGCTCCGAAGCAGACTCCAAATCAAATATAACCACATCATTTGTGGTAATGGCATCCTAAAGAAATTACAATTTACATTATAACTATTCTACAACACTGAAGTAATAGATTTTGCAATAATAAAAGTTCGCTCTAAAAATAATGTGAATTGCAGCACTCACTTTATTAGTTTCGACTCGTGGTACAAACTTTCGCACTCGTGCTAAATGTACACATACATAAGTCTGTCCTTATTGCAAAATATATTATTTCGATTTTGCAACTATAAAAATAATCAAATATGACCATTTTAGTGTTAGCACATTAGTAAACGAGCCCTACATATATTTAGTGTGTCATCTATTTGATTGTTATATAGTTATTTACCTCTTGTAGTATGTCAAGATCTTCATCTAGAAAATTTGAATAAAATCGGGCAGTTTCAGCTGCCACCACTACTTCTGAGGCCTCTGCAGTTGACTGTTCGATGACGTCTTTTTCTGCGGCTAAAATATAACAAGTTAAAAATTCATTATGCAAACATAAATGACGAGAGCGTATTTTCCTCTTAAAAATATTAATTATAAATTTTAAATTTCATTTAAATGCTTCCGTAAATAAGAAAGTTGGCGCTGCGCATGTGCAAAACGAAATTTTTAAATTGGTGTTAGTGGCATTGCGCATGCGCGAAACGAAGAATTGAAATTGGTGTTAGATTTTCTTTTATTCAAAGTGCCTATGTATCAAATTTCATTTAAATACGTCCGTAAATAAGAAAGTTGGCATTGCGCATGCGCCAAACGAAATTTTGAAATGGCTCACTGGTTAGTGCATTGGGCTACAAAGCCGGAGGTCGGGTGTTGGAACCTGGGCTGAGGTAAGAATTTTTCATCTGTGGCAGAGATGAAAATTTCCTTAGATCAGTTTCGAGCATTCTGCCGGCTACTCCGAATTAGGTTTTCATGCAGTTTTCTTAATTCGTAAGGAGTAGTAGAAAACAACTCAAGACCTTCTGCAGGGTCACCTCTAATAGCATTAATGCGGGTCACTCTGTAATTGGGCGCAAGCCTGTTGAGGACGCAAAACTAAACAAAGTTTGGGAAGGACTTGAATATGTGCCGTGAGACAAATTGTGTTCACATTAAACATTTGCAGGTAAATATGATTGCATTGCTTTTTCAGTTGACCTATAAATAATAATATTGAGTTCATTAACATTTAAAAACACTCAGGTTAACCAAATAGATAATATTGCTTGAAACATGGCTTCTGTCAAACATAAAATTACCTACAGTTGTCAAATAAAGATATAGCGTAATTAGTCGGTACGTATATTGGGCACCCTTTGTCCAGAATTTGTGGCTACGTCTCGCCTCAGCTGCAAATTCTGGACTCAACACAAAAAGATTTCGTTATTATGACTAAACATTTCAGTCCCGTTTGACAAACGACTGATAGTCGGTCCTGATGATCAGTCCTGATGGGATAGAGTCATTGTTTTAAGTTACTTTTTCTACAATCGATATCCAAAGTAGGCATTTGCGCTCGTATTTGACAACGCAAACGTCATCTTTTCTGATGAATGTCACTTTGTCGCATATAAGCGACTAAATGAAAAAAACGCACGCTCCCCAATTATTAACTATAAATCAAATATGCATTGCTCAGAGTATCCAATGACAACGAGTAAATGTCATCTGTACTTTTAATTTTCATTCATCAAATTGAATACATTTTTGGAAATATGCGAACTGCTCTATTGTAGAAAAAATCTTGTGTGTAATTCGAGCGCAAATTGATAGTCGATTTCAAGAGATTGCCGCGCTCCTTCGTCGCGCGTCAACTGTCTCTTTCAATCGACAATATATCACTTTGCGCTCTTAATACACAAATAGCTATTTTCACACGTTGTGCGTACCATCAGTCGTTTGTGAAACGCGGCTTAAGAGTATAGTAGCACAATAACCAATTCCTACTCTTGTTTTTTTGTAGTACAATCATTGTATTTATAAATGTTTATAAATACAATGGTACAATTTAAACAATTATTTAGTCCTCTCTAAAAATACTGTGTTACGTACACACATTGAATAAAAACAATGGTATAAATTAGTCTAAGAAAAACCATAGTATACCATACTCGCTATAAGGGCATTATTCCTTTGGATGTTTTACATCTCCCGCTCGTTTTGTAATAACTTTCATCCTCAGTAATGATTAGGCATTCGTTATATCGTGGTTGTTCAGTATTCAACAATACTCTCGTCTGATTTGATTGTGCACTCACCTCTCGAGCCACCATTTTATAAACTTTTATACCATTGAATATAAAATTAAATAATATACATACCATTTATGTTTTTTCGCTCAGATTTTAAATAAAATCGAAGAACTTTTACTTTAGTACTATTCAAAATCTGAGAAATAGATATATCTGGTGGATATTCATTGTGTTTGAAGTCTAGCAAGTCAAAATCGAAATCCTCGATGTTTCCTTTGGGTGAGAAACCGTTAGGGAAAAACACTTTTTGCGCAGCTTCAATCAGTTCTTGTTTCATCGCAGATTTCTCCACTGTCAGTTTCCTAGTTCCTCCCCCTTTTTTGCTACGTACTTGCACAATTTTGTTTCCATCTTCATGTAGCCAACCCATTTCAATATTTCTGGTCGACTTTTCTGAATTGTATTTAATTTTTTTCTTTGTGTGTACCACAGATTCCTCATCATTTTTATTTCCCCTAAATATTTGGGTTCTAATTTTTTCCAGTAGTGATTGTTTAGAAGCTTCTTGTTTCGATGTACTTGGTGCTCGCATCAAACAAAACTCTCTAACCAACTTCCTGTGCCCATAAGCTGGTAAAAATGTTTTTAGTTCTGTATCGGACATCATATTTATAACTTCTTCAGAAATCTGAACAAAAAAAAACATTTGTTAGAATAAATTTGTGGGGAGGAAGATAGTAGGTGAATGACTCTGATATTTTAAATGCTAATGCATATAGATTCAACAAGTCCCTAACTTTTTAAATGTATCCATAAGCATTAGCTTATTAATCTAATACAAACCTGTTCTGCAATAATATTTTGAACAACTTCCTCTGGCACATTATGCCGTTTCAAGAAATCTTCTAATTCCGACATTTTTTCTCAAACCACGTAAAATGCAGATCGTACAACTGAAACTAAGTTAGGTGCTTAATGTGCGTTCCAACTGAATTATGGGTTTTGTTTTGTGTTTTGTTCAATTCAGTGGCTGTTAAACATAAAATTTTGTTTCGTAAGCAAAGTTAAAGCTGTATGATTATGTCGCCACTTGGTTTGTTACTCACTAGTGGTTAAAGGAGACAGTATTGTTCAATCGCATTACTGCGACGTGTGTGAGACGAAATGTGACACACCATATGATACGATCGTCGATCGTCCTCCAACTTTAAGTTTCGACCCTATTGGTTGGTTCACGAAGATAACTTATTAGATAGCCATCTCCAACTAAACTTCAAGAAAACCAATTCGCGAATCCACCATTTGTGCTCAATACCATCACCGAACACAAAACAAAATAAAATGTAAATAGAAGTAACTAGAATTAGTATAATATTTAGGGTAGGTGTAGGTACCTACGTATGATTTTACAAACATTAAGATTAATAACTAAAATTATAGTACATTCTTCAACGAGCGTAGAATAGAAGCTATTATTCACGTGGATGAAGTTCCAAGTGAATAATAGCCATTCTAGGCAAGTAGAAGACTATACTTCCTTTACGACTATTAAAAAATTAAAAGAAATTAGTTACGTTTTTGACGTTTCAAATGGTGACTTATGCGGTTGCTAAGATACGCTCCGTCAGTTTTTTCCAAAGCGATGTGATTATTGCATATTACCGTGAATTCTGAAAAATAAAAGCATGTGATTGGCTAATCGAGCGTGATTTCTTACAAAGAAATCACGCTGTGAAGAATTTAAACTATTATTCAATGTAATATGCAGCAAGAATCAGGGCATTATTTAATAGTCGTAGAGAAAATAATTATTATTACCTACATTGCTACCTACCTGCCTACTACATACAAACAGATGGCACAAAATAAACTCAAAATGTAAGTATAACAACCGGCTCGAACGCTGGAATCTCTTGATCACGTCTCGTTGTTCAGGACGCACACACAAATGAAAAAGTCAATATAGTGAGAAAAATCTCAATATATTGAGAAAAATGCCAATATATTGAGAAAAATCTCGATATATTGAGAAAAATCTCGATATATTGAGAAACATCTCAATATATTGAGAAAAATCTCAATATATTGAGAAAAAAGTCAATATATTGAGATTTTTAAAAGAAAAAAAGTTGGTGACACCAGGAAGCTTTCGTATTACCTTGACCTGTAAGATAATGTTTAAATTCCATGTTACAAAATTCGGTACCGTTTCCACATGCAACACTGATTGATTGACCGAATTTATTCGAAACTACCGCGTTGAAGTTTTTAAAACAGTCCAATGCGTCACTTTTATGCTTAATAAAATTTACGACTCGAAAACTTGTACACCCGTCTTTGAATAGAATAAAGTACCTAGCTCCTGAAATTGACTGTTCAGGCATAGGTCCGCACACATCACTGTAAATTAACTCGCCTGACGCCTGGTTTTGATCCTCGTTAACAGCTGATTTGAAGGGCAACTTATGGGCATTTACGATAATTGGATCGAGACAAATGTCTCGGTAAAATTCGGTAAACAGCTGTTTACCTACGGTGAGCGTGGTTATGGTTGATTTATCGAACGACACGGTAAATAGAGAGCGTCAGATTTGTTTTGTAGGTTAGGTTAAAGGGACTGTTTCATAAATTTGCATGCTTTCTTGGTTTGTTTTTCTTTACTTTGTAATGGAAGTTGCAAAAAGTAATAGAAAACGGAAGTTAATTTTGGCGGCAATAGCCCAGTTGATGGAGAGTGATAGTGAGGATGAAATGATTACAATTTTATCAAAGTCAGTACATCTACAAAAAAGACCTCGAATTGCCATAAAAGATTATATTGAAAATGTGGCATCTTTGTATGATGATAGTTGTATGTTATTACCAATGTGTACAGTTGTATATGAAAATATATTGCTTTCAGTTTTTAAAAGTCATTATAGACTTTCACATTCTACCTTCAATTACATTCTGGGTGGAATTGGTAAATTTTTAATAGACAAAAGAGACAATGGGGTAGGACCGACTGCAAAACCTCCACAAACACAACTACTCATAGCCTTGAGTATGTTGTGTAACCAGCAAGTTTATCGACTTATTTCCGAGAAATTTAATGTAAAGCCCGCTTGACATGGAGCAATAAAAATTGCAATTGCATGCAAGTTGCAAGAAAAATTGCGAAAGGCATGCGCAGTTCAAAGCCAGCTGATCAATTGCTGCAAGAAACTTGCATGCAATTTTTATAGGACCGGTGCTATTTTTCTTGCATGAATCGTGCAATTCTAGGGATAAATCTAGTTGTTTTTGTGGCACCAACCTAGTAAAATACAGCGGCGGCAACTGTGATGCTGAGAGACGCACTCATTACTTGTTTTTACTAATCTTATTTATTCTTGTAATTTTCATGTTTCTTCAAGCAATAAAAATTTAATTTTCATTTGAGGTTAACAACTTTGTTGACAAATCCATATGTTTCTTCTGTTGGCAGACATGTGGCAATTGAAATAGAATTGCACCATGTCAAATACCATGCAATGCTATTGCATGCAAGGATTTGACCTTGCAATTTCTTTCTGCAAGTTCTTGCGCGTAGTATTGCTCCATGTCAAGCGGCCTTAAGCAAATCAACAGCGTGGTTGTATGTGTTGAATGCATCCCTAAAATCTTGGAAGAATAAAAAGTTAAGTTGGCAACAATGTATAAAAAGGTAGAGAAGATGGAGTGCTTTTTGTATTAAAATCAGAGACATGGAGAGAGGAGATCGCTGATCGACGAGTGCGCATCCAAGAAAGGGTGCGACCTCATGGGCGCTGCCATTTTTACACCCGTTGTGTCATGTTGTGTTTATAGTGGTGTTATTTTAGCGTGTGTTCGTGTTTAGGAGAGCTTTTTTCGAGGTTTAAGTGTTTATTTTGTAACGTCAACGTCACTGGCATTTTCTTTTGTTCATTTGGATTGAGATATTAGTTTCTTCCTACGGAGCTGCTGCCGAATAGAGTGTAGTGTATGAAGATTGCGTTAGATGTCTCTGGGTTGCGTCAGTAAACCTTTATAGTCCTGTTCAAATTTCGCGCTTCAATGGGTGTCAAAATGGCAGCCCCCTTGTTTTGTCACTTCGCGCAGTTTCATGCGCTATCTCCTCTCTCCATGTCTCTGATTAAAATATGTAAAATGTATAGTACGTGTGTTTATTTATTTGCAGTCCAAGAACATTTAAAATTACAACAGGTTATGTGTCCAGGCATGCTAGAATTATAAATAAAAAGGAACATAGGAAGGCGCGAGAAAAAGGAGGTTAGAGAGGTTATTACCACGTGCAAGTACGAAATTATCGAAAGTATGGAAAAGGACAAGAAGAATAGTTATAACATTGAAACATTAACCGAGGATAACTACATTTACTGGAAATTTCGAATGGAAATATTATTAGGAGAGAAGGGCGTATTGGAATGCATTAAAGAGGAAACCGATTTAGCGGAGTTAAGTTCAGAAGATAAGATCAAGCAAGTGAAACTAGATTCTAGAGCGAAGTCGTTGATCATTCAGTGTGTTTCGGATTGTCACCTAGTGTAACGAAGCACCCGGAATTTCTCCATTTAGTTTGCCGTTTACAAAGACCACCCTGTATGTAACGTTTGGTTTGGGCTTCGTTACGCAAGAAGACCGCGATATTTTTGTAACCACCGAAGGATGTTGTCCTGGCGAAGATGAGGGGCAATTAATATTCTTTGGTTTCAGCGCCGTTAATTATTTATAAGATGTTTTAGATTCCCATAATAAGTAAAATCAAGGATAAAACGAGTTCAAATCGAGTTGTTTACAAGTTTTGCAGTCCCGTCCGTATGCCTGCATGTTGCGATAAGAGTGTTAAAGCGATAGCGCCGTTTGAGAAGAAAAAGTCCAAAGGAGCTAGTTGCAGATTGGATTGATGAGTACTTAGGTTTGATTACGCTTAATTAGGTAAGCGCTGTTAATTAATGCCATGTTAATGGGCAGTAGTAAACCTTGTCAGAAACCGTCGAGAGAGGTGTCCACAGAGGCGCTGTAATTTTTCTAATTGTTTGCAAGTTGTCCCAGATTTTTAAGATAATTACAGGAGCCGCAATTAATTAAAAACCGAATTATTTTCTACCGCGCTCGGTACGAGCACCGCCCGGCTTTGGAAATTCCATGTTCCACTTCTACCAAGATAGGTTTCCTTTAAAAGGAAAATGCTCATTTTGGGAGGGATCTTTTCTGCTTCATACTTTCGAGTTGTAAGTACGCCTTTTGATTTCTTTAATTTGCGAAACCGTATCATTCCGAATCCACCGAAACCCTTTTGTTTTACCGTTTTACCGTTTGAGCGACCGTAAGTCAAGCCGTTGTCCTTTCCTTTTCACTACCGTTTTGAGTTTCCCTTTTTTGCACAACCGTAACCTTTTGCCACCGTTCCGCTAAACTTCATTATATTCTGTTCTCCTTGCTTTTCCGCTTTTATTTCCCCTAGACACCGCTCATTGATTTATTGTTTTATTCCCTTTAGGAAATTTACCGTCCGGGCCGTTGGCCATATTTTGTTTTAGATAATCCGGAAGTGACCGCCGCCATTTTGTGGTGAACCCTGACCGACCCCTGGTTATTCCGTTCTCCACTTGAGGATACCCGGAGGCTTCCACCCCGTCCGCGAAGACCGAACCGCCCCTTTTCCCAAGACTTAGGGGGTGCAGATTAAGTCTTGGTGGCGCCCGAGTGACCGACCGACCGTCCCCGGTGTAATAATTGAACTGTACAATTATATTATTGTTCGACAATTAAATGAACTTGAAATAATTGTGCTTTCCTTTATTCAGAATACCGTTCGTGCACGAGCTAAGGGGGAAGTTCGTCGCACTAGAAAGCCTCAGGGATAAGACAGCGTATGGAATGTGGAAAATACTAGAGCAAAATCACGAAAAGAAGGGACTCCCCGGCCAATTATTTTTGAAAAGGAAACTTCTGTCAATGAAGGTGAATGAAAATGAGTCACTACAAAAGTTTATCGTGGAGTTCGAAGAGGTCTTAAGAAAGCTGAAGGCGACAGGAGCGGTGGTGGATGAAAAGGACTTAGTTTGCAACTTACTATTAACTCTACCAAAATCTTATGAAACAGTAGTAACTGTAATTGAAAATTTGTCACCCGAATTGTTAACATATGAAAATGTGAAGCGGAAATTGCTTAGCGAAGCAGAAAAACGAAAGTTGGGGAAGAATATTGAACCTGTAACAAATCAAGCAGCTTTTAACACACAAACTGGCTGTTTCAGGTGTGGTCAACGTGGCCATTTTAAGAGAGAGTGCAGGAGTGGCTTCAATAATGCAGGACAAAGAGGGAGCTGGAATCGAGGGTCGGCACAATTTACCAGCGGTAACTACAGGGGCAAGGTAGAGCAGAACAGAGGGTTTCATGGAAATAGGGGCGCACACAGAGGATACCAATCTAGGGGATACCACAGAGGATCCAGAGATCAACGTCGTGATGACAATGTAGGTAGCAATACAAGTAATCTAACAGAAGTTCCAGAAAGTGAGGTGAGCCGAAATGTTTGTTTTATTGGTGAAAGTGATCATGTTAGACAATCAGATTGTGACAATAGCATTATAAAGTTCTTTATTGACTCGGGATGTACGGATCATTTGATTAATGACAAAAATGTTTTTTCTGATGTTGTCACTCTGAAAACGCCTATTAAAATAGCCATTGCAAAAAATGATAACTACCTGTTAGCTACCGAAGTAGGAAATATTAATGTGTTGTCTCATTTAGGAAATAAGAAAGTTAAATGTCAAATTAAAAATGTTTTATATGTACCTAATTTAAGAAAAAACTTACTCTCTGTAAAGAAATTAGAAATGTCAGGAATGAATGTCACTTTTGGAAATGGGAGAGTTGAGATGGTAAAGGAAGGGAAATTAATAGGACTTGGGAAAAGGGAGAGCTTATATGAAATTGAATTTGAAATAGATAAATATGAATGCAATGCTGCGAGTAAAGATGTATGTGGTTATTCAGAATGGCATAAACGATTTGCACATTTAAACTTCTTAAGACCGCCGGAACGCATCAAAAACAGACCTTCGCCATTCCAACAATCCTGCTTTTATTTAACAAAATTACACTTTCATATTAGCTGATATTGATCTAGAAGG